TGTGATTGGCTATTATAAAAATTTTTAAATTTTTTTAAAACTTCTAGCGAAGGTTTCTCAATAACTACTTGATCAAATTTAGTGAAAATTTTTTTATTTTAATTCTATATTTTTGTAAAATCAAAATAAAAAAATATTTATTGAATTTGGTTTAACAGCATTGAGAAACTATCGATAAAAGTATAAATAAAACTCAAATATCTTGGTGAAAAATAAGCTAAAATCGTGAAAAATTACCTCTTTTAAATCTTTAAATGAAGATTTCTCAACATGCACAAGTACAAATTCGATGAAATTTTTTTTATTTTAATTCTATGGATCTATAGAATTAAAATAAAAAATTTAAATCAGTGATTATTGAAAAATCTTCGTTTAAAGTTCAAATCAAAACTTGGCCGCAGCACTGTTTTAATAGGTACTGAAACTTTGAACGAATATTACTCGATACTTACCTAACCAAATTCGATCGAAATTTTTTTATTTTAATTCTATATATCTATGGAATTAAAATAAAAAAAAATTAATTGAATTTAGTTAGGTAATTGTCGAGTAAGCTTTGCTCAAAGTTTCAGTACCTTTTAGAAAAAAGCTGCGGCCAAATTTTGGCTTGATTTTAGCAAATATTTCTCAGTAATGACCTGTACAAATTTGATAAATTTTTTTTATTTCAATTCTGTAAATCCATAGAATTAAAATAAAAAAATTTTTATCGAAGTTGTACAGGTAGTTGTTGAGAAACCATCGCTTAAAGTTTAAATAAAAAATTATTATAACTTTATTTTTTAAAAGTTTTCTTTTTAAAACCTTTAAACGAAGGTTTCTCAACAACAACCTGTATAAATTTTTTTATTTTAATTCTATGGATTACATAATTGAATAAAAAAAATTTTTATCAAATTTATACAGGTCGTTACTGAGAAATATTTGCTAAAATTCAAGCCAAAATTTGGCCGCAGCTTTTTTCTAAAAGGTACTGAAACTTTGAGCGAAGCTTACTCGACACTTACCTAACTAAATTCAATCAATTTTTTTTTTATTTTAATTATATATATTTATAGAATTAAAATAAAAAAATTTCGATCGAGTTTGGTTAGGTAAGTATCGAGTAATATTCGTTCAAAGTTTCAGTACCTATCAAAACAGTGCTGCGGCCAAATTTTGGTTTAAACTTTAAACGAAGATTTTTCAATAATCACTGGTTTAAATTCGATAAAAATTTTTTTATTTTAATTCTAATGATCCATAGAATCAAAATAAAAAAAATTTCATCAAATTTGTACTTGTGCTTGTTGATAAATCTTCATTTAAAGATTTAAAAGAGGTAATTTTTCACGATTTTAGCTTATTTTCACTAAGATATTTGAGTTTTTTTTACACTTTTATCAATAGTTTCTCAATGACCGTTAAACCAAATTTAATAAATCTTTTTTTGTTTTGATTTTACAAAAATATAGAATTAAATAAAAAAGGCTTCACTAATTTGATCAAGTAGTTATTGAGAAACCTTCGCTAAAAGGTTAAAAAAAAATTAAAAATTTTTATAATAGCCAATCACAGTTAAGGATTCGAAGGTTCTAGATTGCAGATTAGTGAAAATCTGTCGGTGCTGCTGGGGTAGTTAGAAAGTCACTTTGGAGTGGAAAGAGGCTTCCAAAATTTGTTTTTACTATGACAAAGAAGGGCATATTAAGAGGGACTGTGAAGAGCTTAGAAAGTCAATTGAATTTAGACAATGGCAAAGGAGTCATAGAATGCAAGCAAATAATCAAGCAAAAATACAAAGTCAGAATGAAAAATTTTCTAGTGCAGATAACCCATATGTAACAGATGGGCACAAAGTTCAAGCATAGAAGATAATACCAATAAGCAGGAAGTAATATGTAATGAAAATAGTGAAAACTCGGAACAGGTGACAAATGGAATTTCTTTAGTTAATTAAGTCAATGAAGTTTTACAAGAGAAGGTTAACATAGTACATACCTTAGAAAGTGAGAAAGAGAAGGCAGTTAATACTATTTCTGTTGGGCCAGAAGAAGAAATTGGTACAGAAAATATTGCTCAAAGGCTCCAAAAGGTAGAGGAAATGGAGGTAATAGTAGAAACAGATGTTGGATCAAAACAAATAGTTGACAATAAAGAATTTATTCAAATAACTAGAAAAAGAAATAAGAAAAAAATAGTAACTCAGCAATAGACAAAAGAATTTCTCCATATAACAAGAATAAAGGGTCTAAAAGAGGCAAAACCTTATCAGGTAGATGATTATAGTATATATTATAATAATTATAGATTGCATAAGCAATTTTATTTTTTTTTATTTTTTTTTTATATATATGCATAATACAATTAAAATAGCAACCCTAAATATTAAGAGTTTGAATAACAAACAAAAATTTTAAGAAACTATAACTTTGTTAAAATTATATAGATTAGATTTAATTTTAATACAAAAAACCAACCTTAATAACCACTCTAT